ATATATCGAGTGGGATGTGCGACAAGCTCGCTTAGCTGTACGAACATATCGCGAATACCAGATAGAATCTACAAACGCGAGGAGGATAGGCCATTGAATGCAATAGGCTTCCCCGGGGTCGGTCACTATCGACTTTTACATCTTTCAAATACGCACAAGGCTTCAGAGAGTCAACCCCCGAAGGATAACAAAGGCGGAATCGATGGGCACGCGACTATTAATATGAGACTGTTCCATGATTTATCTGTGGATCTCCCCAGCTTACGACAAGACTGACGTTTTAATATTCACGACTCAACTATATTCTCATCAAAATAATAATATATAGAGACGCGTGAGACAAAATATATTATTTAATTTTTAATATATAAACAAAAATAATTAAAATTCTCGCTCTCTTTCTCTCTATCAATTTTGATTTCCGGTTAAAATATAGAATTTGTAGAAGTTTAAATACATCGCGACGACTAATTATAATCGACAACTTTGGAGAAATCGACTTTGGCGATTCTCACAGTTCGTTAGAGACCTAGCGGAGGTTCTTGTCTCTCGTTACGAGAAATTCAGCGGAAAGGATGATGGAACCCTGATCAGAACGGCGTCGGTCGCGTCGCCGTGGCGGCGGCACGGAGGGGCGTAGCAAACGAATTTCTCTAGCAGAATACGGCAAGGATAATTGAATAGCGTCGAAAACGTGCAGCGCGTACCAGTATCGATAGCGATAGATTTTACGAACGTAAAGTGGCAACGACATATCGTTTCGAGTGCAGCGTAATAGCTTGTGGCATGCGCTCCAACCGCTGTCGGGCGTTAACCGTGCACGATTACAGATTTAAATCCCGCCGGTGATAACATTGTCACGGCGCATCAATCACCAACAAGTCAATCTACTGCGGACAATCCTTTATTTGCATATTTATACGAGCTGTGATGTGAAAATCTTAAGGTTTATACGCGTTCGTAACTACAGAATTAATAAAGTTGCAATTCTCCAAAATACGTTCCAAAACATGTCGAGATAATCAATTTGTCTGTCAAGATTTTCTAACAATTCGTTTCTATACCTTTACAACTTCGAATTCTCAATTACGAATTCTTAATGTACGAATACTGGCCTATATTATTAATATATACTTTAATGTATATGCTATTTAGAAATATTCAAAAGTATTGTATACAATTCTTTTTTACATCCACATTGGTATATTCGAGAGATTCAAATAAAATAGTCAAAGAATTCTATGTATGCGGAAAAAAAATCAAAATTCAATCAATTTAGCGCGTGCGATTTGAAAAAAATAGTTGTATATAAATATTTGCTTGTAAGTGCACGACGAAAGCATGTAATTACTGGAGAAAAAATGTTTCGATGAAATTCAATGACGAAAAAAAGGTAATGACAAACTCGTTACGTAATCAGCGGCAACTCTAAGAAATACGCTTTCATTGAACATCATGGACCTGTCCCGTTAAAATGTTTGATGAAAGACTTCGTGATACACGGCAAAAAACTCACCGAGGCTTTGCATTCCCGATAATTTAAACGGGAAGGAAATACGTGCGTTTGTTTTTGCGTATTTGCGATAATAAATCACGTCCGAACAGTACAACGAACCAAACAAACAATACAATGTTACAAGTATTATACACTCAATTTATACACGCAACTGAGATGTTCAAATATATGTGTTTCATATTTCTTCGTACTATTTTGTGTAAACGTCAATTATGAATTGATAGACTGATACCATTATAGATAGATCTGATTCCCGTACGCGTTGTGAGTAACAAATTTCTTTACAATGCAAACTTGTGCAGCCGCGATTAATTTTTATCATGCTGTTACCAAGGATATCATATCGCAAAGGAAACATTCACAAGCATTAAGAGCTAAATTAAGTCTCTGCAATGATATTTAATAGTATCCTTACGATTACGACAGATTTCTTGCGATGCATATTTTTAAAATCAATAAAATGACAGTAAAATATCTGTAATTATAAATAATTATAAAAATAATTAATAAAAAAAGTAGACTATAAAATTGTTATAATTACGTGGAAGATTCTGATATTTCTACAAATTAATAGCATAAGATAACACTATAAAAAGTCGGATATGACGAACAAAATATAACGTAACCTACTATCAGCAGATATAATTGTCGGAAACAGCATGATTCATAGACGTTTGCTCAATGTCGTCCTAATATAATACAATGACAATGGGTCACACAGTCATACACGTATATTATTATCAGCGATCTTATCTCACGATGCATTTAAATGGCATATACCTGTCATATGCGTGTACAATGCGTGTTGTACGTACTTCGTAAATACGCAATAAACTCCGCAGTAATATAAAAAATACATGGAGATAATTTTCTGTTAAATTTACCCTAAAAATTATGGTAATCGTAGAACAACATATTTCAAAGAATTTATTTGATTCTTTTTTATTTATTAATATTTATCACAATAAAATATAAAATGTAAAATATGTTTAAATTTGATTCATTTTAAACATAAAATAAAATTTCAATAATTTTAAAATATGTTAAATAGTTTGTGATTTTTTATTGTTTCAAATAGAATAGATGTCAAGTAATACAGTCGATCAATTACCATACTGCATGATAAAATTATTATGAGCGACTAAATCAGATTGAACATATCGTGGTGTATTGTAAAATTTATATAAGTTTATATATACTTTATATGTACGTATCATTACTTGATATCTATTCTATTTAAAGCTAATACACATATTTTATAATTACTGAAATTTTACTATATTTGTTAGTAAAATTAATCAAATATAATTTGTACTTTATTGTGAGAATTGTCAATAAATCAAAAAGAATCACATACAATTCTTCGAAATACTGTGTTGTCCTACGATTACCATAATTTTTAAAATAAATTCTGTAAAAGAGAAAATTCTCTATGTGTACATACTTTTAAGAACTTGGAAAGAGAAGCAATATCATATTAAAATTTTGACAAGTAATTAAAATTCAATTAATAACCGTTCGGTTTTATTTCTTGGCTAATTAATTTTAATATTATTTTAAAAATACGAAAAATAAATTTAATTATACAATAAATAAATAGCCTAAATATAAAAAACTAAATAGCAATCGCAAGTTTACTTTCATCTTTCCCTAATGACCCGGATTCTTTTCATTATCTTTCCCCTGTAAAAACAATGGACTTAGAAATGCATGTGCACACGGGTTAATCGTTCTTTATACAATGAAGATCTCCGCAAGATACGAGACCGAAATCTTATTTATTCGTGGCGTCGAAGAATAGAGAAAAATGCAATTTTATGCAGAATACGATAGAAATGACGAGGAAACTTATTTGGACTCTCAATTCTATTTACATCGACCACGAAACAATAGAGGAACATGCGTCCTTGCACGCGAGATAATAAAGTCCTGCGGTATTATACGATTACGTTACATCCGTTTCTTGCATGGAAAACATGGAAACTGAATGGCGTGAATTACATTTTTCTCTAAGGCGTCAATTAGAGTGTCGTGAAGAGTAAGTGTCACGATTGTAAAACATCTAAAAAAAAATCACGTTCACTCGGAACGCGGCAGCATAAAGAAACAGTATTATGCGTATTTGTTGAAGCAAGAGCCATTATTGATTATTTACGTCGACGCTTGCGACGTTTCTGCAAACGACGGCAAATTGCTCACATTTGTCAATATTTGTGTCCGCCAAAGACGATTGTGTCATAATGTATTACATATCGTGTGCTGCGAATTGCAATCAATGGTTATATTTTATCCTAATTTTACAAAGTCTCAGATGCAATACTAGTCACAATTTTATCTTTATTATCGCGTACGAAGAGTCATAAAAAATATAGTGCCTACTTATTTGCGATATTTTTTTATTTATTGTAAAAAATATGGCACCTATTTATATAGGTAAATCTAACGTGGAAAAAAATTAGGACTGCCTTTTAAGAGGCAGTCCTTCAAATATGCGAGTACTTAAAGAAGTTCTGGATCGAAGTACGTAAACCTGGCGAATTATTGTCAGCAAGTGTAAGGACGCTCCCCCGAGAGTCACTTCGTGCAATCGAGCAACCTTCGACGCGCGTTACGTAAGCGTATGCGGATGCTTACGTGCGAAAACCTGTTGTCGAACGCGCGTCCAGGGAAGAAATTGCACGTGTGTATTGGAGCCTTTCTAGAAAACGCGGCCACGCTTCGCAAAGAAATTCACATTTTACAATGTAAGCGGCGGCGAAGAGTTATCCTGCCGAGCGAGACTACACCGGACTATGGCGTTGCGATTTTCAAAGTGATAAATCTCGGTTTCATCGAAATAAATAGCAGATCAGAACGCTCTGATTCTAACAACATTCCACGTTTAATCCCCGATCTGAATTACGATACTAGACGTCAGATAAATGGTGCAGTAAAAGGAATGTTTTAGGTCTAAAATACATAACGCGTATCAAGATTTACGTTGAATTTATATTGTGTGTGTGCATTTAATTCTATTATTTTATATTATTCTGCATATATTTGTCTAATCGTATCGCCAAACATATACGCATAGATATTAAAAACGACTCGATCGCAAACAACTACAGGCAATCTTCGATTTGTTCTAAGTTTTGTGTTTACGTTTATGAAACTATAGACTCTAAAGAGACAAGCCAAAGCGACGCGACGATTCGATCGCAATGCTTTACACCAAGCTACAAATTTCTTGTCAAGCAGACATTTCCTTCGAATATAACTTTATATTATTGCCGAGCACTCGAAAGAGTGCATCAAGGATCGCCCGCGGTGCGTGCGCTCGAAATCAATTTCGTCGCGCCATCGCGCATCGTGCGCGGAGGTCGGCACTCAATAAGAGCACAAGCTGACAGTCGTTCTCGCTAAAGTGCATGACAGCTGTGAAAGGTGTGCGCTCCGTTCACGATATCACGGCAAAAACACAAGAGATCAAACGTTCGCTACTCACCACAGCCGGGGAAAATGGTGCGCGTCTCGGGACAGCTTGGGGGTTGAGAAAGTCTCCTCTCCGGTTCGCTCCGGTTACTCCGATCCCTCCCTCGTGGAGCGAAGCACTCCGTTAGTCCGGTGACACTTAATCAGGCTGGTGGTACACAACACACAGATCCGCAGGCACTTAATCACGAGCGACGGCGGACACCTCGATCTACAACGAATCGCGGCGTGGCGTTTTGACGTTTTATACCGAATGACGCGGATGGTGAGCGGGACGACGCGGACCGGTGACGGCGAGCGAACGACAAACGACGAACGACACGTCTCCACAGACTGAACTCACGCTCCCGACTGATCGGACTGATCGCTCGCGCGCGCGACTCGGGCAATCCCGACGACGACGCCGCTTGTGGAAGCCGACCGAACCGTACTCCACGGCAAACGTTAAATTTCGATCGGCGCGTGCTCGCTACGCATTGTGCGTAACACACAGCTGGAGCGAGCGCCTTGCGACGAGCGGAAAGAAAAAAATAAACAATCTCTCACGCGAGAAGCTTCTCTCTCTCTCCCTTTCATAGCAAACGAGTCCCACGAGCACCAACACCCCTGTTAGACGACGACTCCGTCGTATCGTTATCTCAATGAGAATTCCTCGTAGCACCATTTTCCAACGCACATCCACGCGCGAGGAACCCTTGAAAAATGCCGTAATATAGCCATTTGCCGCGCACGTACGAGCTTTGAGATTTGATACTTTCTGAGAATCGCACGGCGGTACTATATGCACGTGTTACGAATGGCTGTAGCATGAAGGTAAACCTCATCGTGAGTGAGGAATATTAAAGTGACAAAAATCATCAAGAATGGCAGTACGAGGAAATTTCATTTAAATGATGATAAAAATAATGTGTAATAATCATGTAACTCTATTGATTAAAGTGTAACGAAAAAAACATTGTAACTTTAGATTCTATATTTCGACAGAATATTAGTATTCATTGTGGCACATGTAATAATAAATGTTTTCATTTTTCTGCATTGAAATCATTGTTCAAAAAATATAAAGGAAAATTTGGAGCACACCGCTTAAAATACAGATTCGAAATTGTAATAAAAGATTGAAATATACAATATATATATTTGTTATTCAATATTACAATAAACTGAATAAACTTCATATAAGAGAATATACATACCAGGTATGTAAATATGAAATCGGAATTTACCAATAGATGGCCATAGCTGTCAATGTAGTTGCCGTCAGA